CCTGCTAAAAAAAGGAAGGATTTCATCAGCATTTTTACCATACTCAGCAAGTCCCAAGCTGAATTTTCTTGATATTTTTAGGTAGTGTTTGAGCTCTCCTCTTTTTAAATTTTACTCAGACATCTTTAGAAAAATCAGCTATGAAGCCATATTTAGACTCAATGTCAAAGTGTATTCATTTTTTAACATTTATTTTATTTATTTGTTTTTAGGTGGTGCTGAGGATCAAACCCAGGGCCTCCCATGTGCTAGGTAAGCATTCTGCTGCTGAGCCACAACACCAGCCTGCAAAGTTTATTTATTCTTGTCAAAAAAAAAAAAAAAAAAAAAGGAATGGATTCTGCCATACCATTAGCAGTACTATTAATAAAATATAATTCATACATTAATTTAAAAACTTTGGGAATGAAAATCAATTCATGTTACTTCCTTCTAAGGCAATGTCAATGTTTGTACATAGGTTGCTGAGGAAACTCTTTATATGCTACATGAATTTAATAATCTCTCAGATTTTCATTTTTATTGTCACCCTTTCATTTGCCTTTAAATAAAACAGACCACTGTTCAAAATCATTGGAAAATATTTCACAGATTTCGTCATCATAGAAGAATCAGGAGATGAGAAATTACACCAAAAAGGAAATATTCGTCTCATGGGGAGCTTTCTTGAAACACAGAGAGGCTTTTATTTACCTACACTATTCCTAAGCAGAGAATCATTTCCTAGCCACTCCATCAAGAAGAATAAAGCCTTTAGCTCTTCAGAAATTTGGGTGATATGGAAATGGAAAAAAATTTTAAGAAAAAAATTGTAGTTTTTAAAGTGTAAAAGGAAAACTTCACTGATATTTGGTCAAAGTGGAATTCTAAATGCATTGTGTCAACCTCACCTTTAATTTCCAAATGTCAAAATAAGATTAAACATTAAAAAAATAAGTGTAAAAATGAACTTAACACAAAATAAAGATTAATGGACATACTCATGAATAAACAGAGGTGTAACAGAGGGTTTCCAGAAACTAGGAAAATATAGAAATTTGAGAAAACCCTGTAACATGTGTTGGGATAAACTACACCTGGCTCAGAGACTGCTTGAGGTATGACTCCAATCATTCTACTAGCCAGGAGCCATAAATCAATTGGTCACACTGGACTAGACATTTTCATAAGTAGATGGAAAATCCTGTGGAACATCTGGAGAAGAAAGGATAAGAAAAGAGGTAAAGCAAAAAGTAGAAATCACTGATATTGGATGAGATTGCATGATAGATACTGTAATGCCAGATTTGTGAGATCCCAATAGACCTCCAGGAGCTGAATCTGATGCAATCACACAAGAGTCTTTATTGCAAGCTCGAGCCTGGTCTCACAACCATTTCCGATGCTGCAGTCCCAGGGAGTGAGACCTGGTCCTTTGTTCAGTGAGACTTTATAGGTTTTGGGGGCATAGCCTATGTGTCACAACATCACACAGCAAATCATTCCATACCACGGGAAAATCGAACAACAACTCTTAACATTGATTAGCACATTCACTGGCAGGAATAAGTTGGGTAAGGGTGATTGGTTAGTACAAGAGGGGGATTCCTTTAAACTGATTGGTTTAAGTCACGAGGGGTGTATGTGCTAAACTACATGGTTTCCCAACATGTTATCAACCACCATAAACTACTGAGGGGTCATCTGGCATCCCAGGTATTTTCCCTGTCTCATGCTGATTGGTGGTTGCTAAGGGGTTGCTATGGGTCCTCAGCTAGCCTAACTGAGTCAGGGACACCTGGTGCCACAGATCTCTCCTGTTATTTGCAGACAAACAACTCAGCAGGGTGGGTATGTGCTTAGGAGTGGGTTTTTCCAAGGACAAAGGTCACGCCCCCTTCCTTGGACAGGCTTTGCTCTGAGGTAGAGGCTGGTTTCTCAAAAATGGTGTCATAGCAGTTTCTCAATAAAAAAAAGGTTTAAGAAAGGTAAAATGGGTAGAGCAATCCCTTAACAAATGAAATAAAACACAACTGGCTTTAAATTGCATAGGTTTAAGATTCTGAAATAGATGATAGAAAAATTATGCTCATGAATTGGAGCAAATGGAAAAAGCAAACATAAATTAAAGAAGCATTCATTGTGAAATGCACATTCATTGTGATATTAAAAAACCTGTCATGTGCATTTATCCTAGTGTTGTGTGTGTGTTTGTAATACATTTCCCAAATAATATTCTAAAAATAATCCTAAAAGATCAGTAAGCTGCATTAATCACAAATCCAAAGAAAAATTTTGGAATTAGGATTTAGTATTTAAGATTCCTCAACCTTTCTTTTTCTTCATTAGTGTGAATCTTTTTAAAATTTTTCAACATCCAGTACTGGCCAATAGAATCAAATAAAAGCTTATATCTTAGCTTGTTTGGTTCATAGAACACGTCCCCTCACCCACAAAATGATACAAATATTTCTTAGTCTTTTCGCCTTTTTAAATAAAGAAGCCTAAAACATTCCTGTATTTGCTGTAAAGTATTGTAAATTAAAATTTGATATAATATTATAGCCAGGTTTTTTGCCTGCAAATTAATTTAAAAAACAAAAAAATAACAATGTTTAATATACAAAAAGTTTATTTTTTATATTGGAAACATTTCAATTTATTTAAACTATAAATTTCTTAAATTCAAACTAGCACTTTTTGTACTTATTAGAAATATATTCTGTTAAATCTATTAGATTTTCTTTGCGCTCCACAATAAAAAGTGTTATTTTTATAATTACTTCATATTGCAACTTAAATATGTTTGTTATAAAATGGGAAAAATTCACACCAAAATAAAACAAAATTTTGAAGTTGAACCAATACATGCCCCAATGCTATTTATCCCTCTGCTTGCCAAACTATCGAATTATGCTATTTTATTTTCATAAGTTTAGAGATGTCACATATCCCATACTTAATTTTTTTAATATATACATACACACACATATCTTTTTTTTTTTTTTTTCCTATGTGTTGCTGAGGATCGAACCTAGTCCCTCACATGTTCAAGACAAGTGCTCTACCACTAAGTTACAGCCCCAGGCTCCCAAACTTAATTTTTATAAAATACTTTTTTTCTGTAGTCTCCACTTAATTATAAGGAGTACCTGACAGTTTTCTAGTGGAGAATCTTATTGAACAAATATCAAATTTGTTATAGTAATCTCCCATATGAAATGAGCATGCATTTAATATATTATTTCCTGTCCAAAGAGATAGATAAAATAATGTCACATTAATAAGGGATAAATTATTGCATACTAAGCTTTTAAAATCTGTAATAGAAGACACATTTCTACTATTAAAAGTTACATTTCATGCAAGTAAAATTTTCATGATAAAATAGTTGCTATAGAATTGTCTATAAACTCTACTGATTACATTAGAATACATATTTTTTTACAAACATAAATATTCAATACGTTTTAATTTCCTGACATTGGTAGAGATAATATTTACCTTTAATTATCTTTTTCTTATTATTTCTAATACTCATAACAATTCATAGTAACTTGAAAAATATGTGTATGTGTTTATGTGTGCATCTATACATACACATGTATATATACATTTAAGTTAATGTGAAATAAGCTATGTGTATACATGCCTTCACATATACATATATATGTATATTTATCTCTATATATCCCATAGAATATAGAAATGTTTTTCTGAAAATTCTACATTGATCTTTAAGATAAACTGCTATGATATAATGGTAAGTGGGGTCCACTTATTTAAGATATATTTGTCATTAAAGTATCCATAATTATATTTAATCCCATTTGTATACAATTCTAATAAATCTGCTCAAAAAGATGCACATAACTTTTTAAAAAACTAAACTTAATCATAAAAATAAATGAGAAAACGAAGTATGTATGTTGAAGGAGTTCTTTTTAAAATTGATTTCCAATATATGAATATTTAAAACAGCAACTAAAATTATTGAGCTCTATAAATAGTAAGAACGTTTCTTAACACATATTTAAGATGAAAAATTTAGATTTAGTTCCAAATTTATTTGAGCTGTCTTGGAAAGGAGAAAGATTCCTAAGAGTTGAAATCAACATTTATGTCTTTTAATGTGGAAAAAAAGAGTATCCATGTTGCAGATTTAAAGACATGTAAATGATTTGCTTATCATTCCTGTTTCTCATTTTCTTTTGTGATACTGTGTTAAGTGCTGGCAAATGAGTCGTAGTTATACTCCAAGTCTGTAGAAACTTAACCCTACTTGTTAATGTTCATTGTCTCTTTCATTAATACCAGTAGACTTAAGTCTCCTGAGACATGATGGAAATACCACATCTTCCATAAAGCATTCTCTATTGTTACTTCCTATATATCTCTCTTTCTTTTTTTCACCATTAAGGATATATATGTCCTTTATATGCTTTATGGATCTCTCTCTGTCTCTCTCTCTCTTTCTCTCTCTCTCTCTCTCTCTCTCTCTATATATATATATATATATGTATATATATATATATATATCTGAAAATTCTGAAAATTCTACATTGATATATATCTATATCTGAAAATATATATTATATATATATAAAATATATAATCATATATTTTACCAAACTCTTATTTTTTGTATAGACATAATTTGTTCTCAGTAATAGTTTTGTATTTTTAAAAAGGTAAGCAAAAGTGTTAGTGTAAATCCCTATCTCACTCTCAATGTTCATATACTCTACCAAAAGTGCACACTTTTAAGTATTTCTGTTGGTAGATATTACAGTCATCCTGATATTTTACGTAATATTTGATAACTTTATTTTGCCACATCTGTTTTCAGTTAGTAAAAAAAAAGGTTTCATTGCATTAAGTAATTCCATCTCAGTTCTCAATTTTCTACATTCATGTTATGTGCACTAGTACATTGTTTTTAGTTCTTGTGTGAATTCTTATATTCTCAGATTATATTTCATGTTTAACTTACTTTATTTTTATTGTCTTTAAAAAAAAAAAACAGGTTAGAGTGTGCACAGTCCCCCAGTAACACAAATGATGCAGAAATTCCCACATTTGGAGAAACTGCAAGGTTCAGTACATTGGAGGGCAATGGATAAGAGGAGAAGACTCACTCTGGGAAAGTCCCCTTCATGATCAGAGAATTTTTTCTTCCAGGTAAGTATTTGATTTACTTTAGACAGACCTGTTTATACCTTATTGTGAGAGTGAGATTAATATGTAAGCCATCTTTTTCTTCACATGCTCTAGCAAGACTGAAAATGTTTGCATTCTCTTCTGAAGATGACTTTTTCACTCTTTTGAAAGTTGTTTTAAAATTATGAAATGACTTAAGGAGCTTTTATTTACTGTTTATATGCCACTATTCTCAATTATAGAAATTATTTGCTGCTGGAATTTTATTTTCATGTCTAAGTAATTCATTCCATATAGCCATATGCTTAAAGAAAAATCTCCTAGAAAGAAAATTACTTCTTCCTGAAATTTTTCTGTGCTGTACTTTATTTTTTATAGAGACTGAAATTTTATTACTTTTATGTTGATTCTCTAATTGTCATTCTTTTTTTCTTAATATGATAACTTGAAATATACACACAGACACATACACACATACATATGTATATATGTGTATGTGTATCTCCATACATATGTATAGCCTCAGGAAAATAAAAATCATGTTCTTTGAAAGGACAGCCAGACATTTTTCTTTCACTTATTCTAAACCTGTGACTTTCTCTGATCCAAGCTAGTAATTTTAAGTCTCTAATCAATGCATTTGGGTAAAATTGCAATGTCTCTTTTATCATATATAATTCCACGCTATGATAGTCTTGTTAGTACCTGTTGGGGTATAAAAGAGTGTTAAATATGAAATACAGCCCATGGATATCTTTAAATATCTTATTTTTCCCTTTCACTGCACTGACTGGCTGAGTATAACACTCTGGCTCCCAAATCATTTTCTGTAAGTACTATGGAGGCTTTTCTCATGATTCAGAGAAACTGTATTTTCCAATAAAAAGTTTCATGCCACACTTTGGTCATATTTCTTTTTAAGTGACTTTCTTTATGAATTCAGATGTTTTATTTCCACATGGCTGTGACTGCATGAAGATCTTAGTCTATTCATCATGCTTGCAATTAGAAAGTGCTGCACATATGAAGAATTGTATCTTCTTTGCTTGGAAAATAACTTCCAGTATTTTTCTATGGTTCATGCTCTTTTTCCCCCCACTTCTCTACTCCTTAGGGTACTCACTGTTATCTGTTGGTTTAGGGACTTATCTTTTATGTCTTTATCACATGCATTTATTTATTTATTTACTTACTTTCTGTCTTCTAGATTTAAGGGTGTAGAAATTTCACTAACTACATCATCCAGCTGAAATCATTATTGACACTCCATGTGATATCTCATCCAAGTCACTACACTAGTATTCTGCCAGTAAGTTTCTAGTCTTGGCCTTACTTTAATCAATTATGTATTCTTCGTACAGACAATTTAGTCATTTTTCACTTGTTTATATTTGATTTTAAAGTCTTTGATACAGTTCAAACACTTTTATACGAATTAGTATTGGGACTTTGGAGAAATGCATCACGATTTACTTTTATATTCTCTATTGCCTCTTTTTCTTTACACTTAATACTAAGTTGTTTCTGAGTTTTTAATCTTGCAGTGATTTATTTTAGACCATTAAAGTTGCTGTTACGTCCATTTAGAATTTTGTTTCAGCTCACTTTTCTTCAATTGAATAACTGCCTTTAATCTTTCCAATCTCAGTTTACAAATTACAATGACTAGTCCTGGAAAATATATTTTAACATTTCTTGGTCTGGTCTAGATTCTTGAACATTTGCTTTTCTAATATTTTCTATTTTCCTTGGTATTACACAAAAATAAAAGTATCATAATTTTATGACTTCACGTTTCCTTCCCCAGAAAATATGAACTTGTTTACCATTTTTTTATCTGATGGACAGTGACTTACACACAAAAAAATAGATTCTTATCTTCTTTCTTTTACATATTAGTTTTGTACTAGTTTATTTCATTTGTCTTCTTCAATCATGTATTTGTTGTAGAAAAACTATATATACATATACGTATGTTGAGAGAGAGAGACTCTACTACCACACACACATGCATCTACATTGTGTGATAATAATTCAGTAGTTCAAAGTAGTAATGACAGAAGTGATCTTCCTCTATGTCTATATTTTCTACACATTTACCTGATCACATTTTGCAAATAGGTTGACAACAATGTATTAGTCATATAGTACTATTAGATTGTATTTCATTAATTTATCTTTATAAAACATGTAATGTTATAATGCTTAAATTTATTGAAAAATTTAAGTAGAAGAAAAGTATTATAATTTCTATTTATACATAGGAAAAATCAAATTCAGAACTAGTATGTTATGTACAATGAAATCAGATGACTACTGGTTTAGGTAGGAGTTAACCTCATATTTCTGATCTATATTGAACATTCTTTAATTAGCATTGGGCTTCTCAGTTTCACTAATGCCTGGTATCTAAACAAGTATAAATAACAACAAGTCAAATCATGCTTTTCTTCATACAGATTGTGTATAGGAGGGAGAAATTTTACTGGTTTTTGATGAATGAAGTGGGGACAACTGGGAGAATGTCAGGTTGTGTAAGGGGGGGGGTCCGGCAGAACGTCGGAGGGAGAGACCACACAAGAGACTTACTCCATGCAATTGGCAAAAGGGGATTTATTGGGGATCCATTCCAGCGCGCTGGGACTCTGTGCCCACTCAAGAAGGGAGCGCAGCTCAGAGCCCAGAGCAAAGGTCAAGCAGAGCTTAAGTACACTTTTTGGAGAGGGCGGTGGGCTTTGCATACATCAGAACAAATCATCATGAGGCGBGGGGAAATTGAACAACAACTCTGAGAYGTGATTGGCACAATCATTRGCAGGAACAGGTGGKGCGGGGGTGATTCGTCATTCCTAAGCGGGTTACACATTCAAACTGATTGGTCCGGGCCCTGTGAGGAACTGCACAGGGCCCTAGGCTAAACGGCCAGTAGGGCGTTGTTTTAACTATCTCAGGAATTCCAAGTTCTGGGTGTAACAGAGGAACTTAATAATACCTAATCTTTTACATTCAAGCTTTCCAGCTTAGAAACTTTACCCTTTCAGTTGTACCTTGTTTTAATTGCTGTGTATCTCATACTTCTCTACCACATTATAGAGTGAAACTGTAACCTCCATGATACAAACTTTTTTTTATTGGTTTTATTTTTTAAATACATGACAGCAGAATGCATCACAATTCTTATTACACATATAGAACAATTTTTCATACCTCTGTTTGTATATAAAGTAAGTTCACATCAATTCATGTCTTCATACATGTACTTTGGATAATGATGTCTATCACATTCCACCATCCTTGCTAATCCCGTGCTCCCTCCCTTTCCCTCCCACTCCTCTTCCCTATCTAGAATTTATCTAATCCTCCCATGCTCTCCCTCCCTACCCCATTATGAGTCAGCCTCCTTATATCAGAGAAAACATTCGGCATTTGTTTTTTTTTTGGATTGGCTAATTTAGCATTATCTTCTCCAACGCCATCCATTTACCTGAAAATGCCATGATTTTATTCTCTTTTATGGCTGAGTAAAATTCCATTGTGTATATATGCCACATTCATCCACTGAAGGGCATCTAGGTTGGCTCAACATTTTAGCTATTGTGAATTGTGTGCTATAAACATTGATGTGGCTGTGTCCCTGTAGTATGCTGTTTTTAAGTCCTGTAGGTATAGTCTGAGGACAGGGATAGCTGGGTCAAATGGTGGTTCCATTCCCAGATTTCCAAGAAATTTCCATACTGCTTTCCATATTGGCTGCACCACCAGCAATGTATGAGTGTGCCTTTTCCCCCACATCCTTGCCAACACTTACTGTTGTTTGTCTTCATAATAGCTGCCATTCATAATTGATTTGCATTTCTCTAATTGCTAGAGATGATGAAAATTTTTTCATATATTTGTTGATTGATTGAATATCCTCTTCTGAGAAGTGTCTGTTCATGTCCTTGGCCCATTTATTGACTGGGTTATTCTTTTTTTTTGGTGTTGAGCTTTTTGAGTTCTTTATATACCCTAGAGATTAGTGCTCTAACTGATGTGTGGGGGGTAAAAACTTGCTCCCAAGATGTAGGCTCTCTATTTACTTCACAGATTGTTTCTTTTGCTGAGAAGAAACTTTTTAGTTTGAGTCCATCCCATTTATTGATTTTTGGTTTTAATTTTTGTCCTATAGGAGTCCTATTTAGAAATTGGGGCCTAATCCCACATGATGGAGATTAGGGCCTACTTTTTCTTCTATTAGATGTAGGGTCTCTGGTTGTATTCCTAAGTCCTTGATCCATTTTGAAATTAAACCCCTATCTCTCACCAAGTACTTTCACTTTTACTACTGTTTCTAATTTAAAACAACCTGGGCACATAGTGTGTCTGTTAAAATGAGACTGTGATTTGAATTATTTCCCCAATCTACACTTGTAGTAATTAGGAATGTTGAGGTGAGCACCTAGAAATTGCAAAACATTTTGAGGTCATTTTTAACCATCCTGTTTTATTTGTTCAACATTTTTATGAAAGAAAAAAATAAAAATAGAGAGGGATCCAAAATTATAGTTGAGTTGGGAGACATATATGTAGAATAATATTTACTAAGCTGAAAAAACCACTTAACTTTCTTTGTAATTGTTTATTTGCAAATGGTGTGTACGAATATTAAATCTGCAATGCAGATATATGTTAGAATGTTAGCAGAAAATAGCTTTTCAATAAAGTATAATTCTATTTAAATTGTTATTCTCATCATCAATATTTTATAAAAGGCTTAGGTCCTTTTTATAACCTAAAAAAAGAAATTCCTGAGATTTTTATTATCATTTGCTCCTTTTCCTTGCTTTGGTAAAAGCTTTGCAAATTCTTGTATTTTAAGCTAGAACATAAAAAGTGATTTGTGAAGTGAAAAATAAAGATCTAAAAAGAAAAGGAAAATGAGAATGGAGATATAAGCAGTCAAAATTTATGGGGGAAGCTTAAAAGACAGAAAAGAAATTTAAGGTCTCATTAAAGCATGTAGTCTATCCAGGTGTAGTGGTGAAGGCCT